TTTCAGCAAAGAAACTCTGCAGTGTTTATATTCATCTGCATATTCATCTGCATTTTGAAACATTATTGTGAAGAACGGTAAAATGGTATCACGTTGGGGACAGCTGCAAGAGTTTCTCTTGTACCTGGGCTGCCAGGAGCTGGAACTCAATGAATTGACAGAAAGCAGCCCGGGTACAAGACACTTGCCATTTCATGAAGCCTGTTCCTGCCGATCACTGGTGAAACTGTGATAGGCAGCTAAATGTGGATGTATCTGAGCTGATGTAGGAAGAGGAAGATCGCTATGCAATCATCAAATCACTCGTTTCTTGATGTCACTAGAACAGCAGGGCTCATGAAGGACGAAGCATGTGGAGTCCAAACACAGCTTCATGAAATGGCAAGTGTTGGCAAAAACCCAGTCGTGAGTGTACTGGTGAGTTGTGCTTCTCTGCAGTGTGAGATGCGGGGAGGGGGATGGCCTCTGGAGTAGCTGTTGATCACTTACTCGCAACTTGGCCTATTGAACTATTCCTTCTACATTAAATCTTACGGTTATTTGGAATAAGTAGTGAAAGTCTGAAAGTAGACGTGTTAAGTGCAGATTTAGGCTGATATTTTGGCCGATGGTTGTTTTCACAACTGGCATTATTCAGTCGATCTGCCATGGCTGCTCTTTAAGGACACTGTCGTGGGGAGGGGAGAATCAAGTATAGGACCTACTCTTATTTTCAGAGAGCAGTGGGAATGAAAAGCCTTTATTCCAGTGGCTGGCATACTGCAGACTTAGGTTCCCGGGCAGAGTTGCTCACCCCCTTTTTTGGAACGTGTTTGCTTTCTGAGATTCCCCCAACGATTAGCACTGTGCTGGTGTTTGGGTACTGGGAGCCCAGCATGATTATGGATAGATACAGGAGCTGTCTGAAAAGTAACGCTGCCGTGGTCAGCAATGAGAAATACGCTGTTTTCACACTGACAGATGTGCTGCTTTGGGTTGTACAGTGAAACTGGCAGTTCTGAAACCTGCAACCTGTTTATTCGATTCATAATTCAAGGCCAGTGTAATTCCCAGTGACTATCACTGTTGTTTTCATTATGGAGTCCTAATTCATTGTTTCTGTGGGCACAAAAGGGTTGCCAGACTCATTTGGTGTGTCACTGCACTGTAATTTTACATAGTGCAGTACTGTTGAGCTTGCCTAGCTGTGTCATCTGTTGGGCTCATCACTGTTACTTCCTTTTGACCCCCTCTCTCTAATTGCGCATGGATGACTTACTAGCTGCCGTAAAGATACTTAAATGCAACTGGGCTGATTAATAAAAAATGCGAATAGACCAAAATGATTCTCTCTGAGGTCAGTGAGGACCAACTAGGTAGCTGTTTGCTCTCTGCCAGGCAGGCAGAGCCATCTGTCACATGACAATAAGCAAGCATCAATTTCAAAAGTCCATTTGTTTTTATGACAGTTTTTACAATTTTATGGAAATGGAACCATTACATAAAGCATAATTTTCCTCAGAAATTGGCGTTTTATAGACTTATATCCCTGTTCAGTCATTTACATTCCTAGTTGCTTTTTAGATGGAGCATACATATAATGATGGTTTTTCCCCCTAATAAAAAACCTTCAGAGCTTTTTTCTGTCCATGTTTGGTACTTAAAGAATACCACAAGGTTTCTGTGTCCACGTTTTATATGTCCATAGAAACCAAATCTATAGGGGCTACGAAGGAACTAATGTTTAATGCTTTAATTTTTAGCTCAAAATCCTAGTTCATAATAATTTTCTAGGAAGATTTTGCTACTCTTTTTATACCTTAAGTGTGTGTTTTTCATAATCTCTGTTGGTTCTTAATTTAACTCGTCATATTCCTGCTTTTCTTGGAATGGTAAATCTAACACATTGTCAAGTTGTACAGATTTTTTGTTTGCTGGAATCTTGTGTTCAAGTCCAGATTATGTCCAATGTGAGCATGAGCTTTCCAATTTTGTTTCATTCTCCATGAAAGTTAATCAATGCCTTATAAAGGTTCTGCTCAGGGGAAGCTGGGGGGTTTGCACACTAGATCAGACTTAAACTGCACTGATAGATCAGTTGTCAAAGGACAACTTTGACAGCATCTGTTCACATCACTCTGCCTTCGTCAAGCCATAGTAGCCTTTTGTCTTTATGAGGAGCATTTTAAAGCAGGACAAGGGACAATGTCAAGTTGGAGGTATTTTTTGGAGGCTGTATGCATTAAAACTCCAATTCCTCAGTAAAATGCAACTTCTTGGCAGTTCCTAGGGGTTTGAGCAGTTCACCTGAGCATCACAGGCATGGCTGCTCAAGGGTTTGTGTCCTTAGGTATGAAAGCATTTATGAAATTGGTAATTGCTTGGTTGCTTGCATGCTTCTCCTGTATTGCAATTGCCATTTAAAGGTCAGCATTTTCCAATATGTTCTGGGCATCACTGGTTTCCCTGATAGCGAGATCTGTAGCAATGATTCTTACCCTTACAAGTGCGTAGATATTTGAAATTATTTGATTTGCCGTACCATAAAATATGTGAGCGAACGATCTAGGTGCAGCTGTACTAGGTGAACATGAGAACAACATGTACATGAAAAGAAAATAAGGCCATCCCTAACCCTTGGAGCATATAAATGGAAGTTGGATATAACTCCAAAACCACTTCACAGTCAGACTATTTTTTGATTTCACAGGGAGATATAAGTGGTGACAGATGCTAAAATTCAGGGATCTATTCATGAGTTGAATTATTAGGCCATAAAAGGTAGCAGATCTGGAAAGAGTTGCAGAAATCAACATTTAAGAGGGACTGGGAGTTACCTGTCAGAAGGTATTTTAGGAGAAAAGCTGATGAAGACACAGAGAGACTTCAGAGGACATTTGAATATGAGAGATCCAGGGAATGATGAACTTGAGGAGAAATCTGAGAGAATCCGTGTGTTGTTTTGTTGTGTGTTCATAATTGCATTTAGTTTCATTGTTTTTTTCTCTAAGACAACCAGGAGCCTCTATAATAGCTCCTAAAGGAACATAAACATAGGATCTGAGCCTAAATTGGACCTTCTATGGTAATAAAAATATTGATTCCGGTGGATTTCTCTGTCCCTTTTATAAGGGGAAAGTCCTAAGAGACCATCAGGTTGAGGGGTACATGGAGGGGTTGGTCTCACCAGATCCAGCCAGTTGAGGACAGGCAGCTGCCTGGGAGCTGCGGGAAGAGGGAGCTGAGGGGCTTGCAAGGTTTGCACAAGCTCGGTATGTGGCCCGGCTTTTGCTAAAGCTGATGTTGGAGCCCGACTGGGATCAATGTTTGGACAGAGTGAAACTAGCCTGAAGTGGTACCTCAGGGAGTCGTTGGCAGGCAGATGACAGATGAGCCTGTGTTTGCAGATGAGATCACCAGCAACAGGGTGGCAAGTGTTTATTTTTAATGTCATATTGATGCTGGGCTGGCTTATGGGCATGCGTAACCTGTCATCACCACAGCGCCGTGTGGAAGTCTCCTGTGGCCCCTTTGAGACACCTTTTGCCAGACAGGGCTACAGTTTGCTTTTGCTGATGAAGTTGTTGTGGAGAGCTGGTTCTAATGGATGCAAAGAGGTAGTCCTGTCCAGTTCTGTTAAGTCAGATATTTTAAACTCACTAGTTACAGAGGATGGAAACTGCGATAATGGATGTTTTCTGGTTTTTAAAGACATCTTTTGTTTCCTGAGAGCTGAGAACACTGTTCATAATAAAAAACTAGTTTAAAAAAAAAAAAAAAGAAAAAAAAATCAAACAAGACAGAGAGTGGGTCTTCCATTCAATAATTGCCCTGTGGTTTCACAAATCTTCTCTTACACTTAGAAAATGCCCCTTAGAGTTGGTAATTTTACAACAATCCCGAGGCATGCCTTTGTTCGCGTTAGGTATGTGCTGAAGGGCAGAGAATAGCCTCAAAGTGAAAGGTGTCAGGAAACGTCCAAAATCAATTAACCATTGTATAGCATGTGGGAGACATTCCTTGTCTCTCTGTGAACAGTCCTCGAGACAGCATGGCTTTCGGGCTGCCGGGAAACTGGTACGTTTCCAAGTTACCGGTGGAAATTGCTTTGAACTTAGAATAAACCTGCACACACATATAAATTAGAAGAAAACAAAACACGTCGAATGAAATCTTGGCCTTATCAAAGTCAAAAGGAGTTTGCTGCTGACTTCAGTGGAACAAGGATTTTATCCATAAAGAGGGGGGAGGGGGGGAAAAAAAAAAAAGATTTTTGAACTCGAAAATCAGAGCGAAGCTGTCTGCTGTAGGGTTGTTGGGGTTTTTTTGTCACAGATACCTGCTTGTTTTCACATGTATTTGCAGGATCTGAAGGCCACAGAGCCTTTGTAATTGCGTGGCTGCAATCCCTGGTGCAATCCGCTTGCCAAAGCACACCTGGAACACTCATCCTTTTGTAACTTTCGTTTCTTGTTTTTATGGCCCAGCAACGTTGCTCAGGCCTGTTCAAATGAGTTGGCAATTAGTAACGTAAGTACAACTTGTCCAACTTGATTTGTTCTTCCCACACGCACGTTCTGTGTCTGTCTCTCTCTGAGCCACGGGTAGAGAGAAGAGCAGCAAGGAAGCGTGCTGTGATGGGGCCGATGCCGGGAAGGCTTCTACCCTTTTGGATGAAGTTCTCCTACGTTATGGAGAGCAACGGTACCTTGTGGCCATCCTCGTGCGGTGTCTGTGTGAGCACCCGGTCTTTGGGCCTTCCCCTGCTACGCTTACACAGCCTGGCAAGAGCTACCTTTCGTTTGGGTTGAGCAGCCTGTGAATGGGTTGCGTCCAAGGGCTTTGAAGTCCCGGTGCCATGTGCCTGCCTAGAGCACCGCCAACAAACGCCAGATTAAACACCTCACAAAAGACCACTGTAGATATCTGGGATATGTTTTGTTGTTGTTGTCGCTGGTTTTAGTGGGTTTGCTTTTATTTTTTAAAAAATTCCTGCCACGGATTTAACATTGGCCTAACAGGTAGAGCACTCCCCTGGTAAATGGGAGTTCACACTTCCCGTCTCTGACCTGGAGAGTCGGACAGCCTCTTGCCTCCGCCCGAGTCCCGATGCCATGGTGTTACTCATTGTGCAGGAGACATCCAAACCTCACTGCCTCTCCCCAGCCAGTGGAAACTGTGCCATGGCATCAAAAACTTGACCTTCCCTTGCCTGGAAAAGGGGAGAGGACTACGAAAGAGCACAGGAGCCCGTAGCCTGAAAAGGGTCAGAGTTGTGTTCTCTGCTGCCTGGGCCATGAGTTTTCATTTGCCATGTTAGCAGTCTGAGCTCCAGAGAGGAGAGGATAACTCGGATAATTCTGTGCTCAGCGTGCGGGTTTCCACACCCTCCGTGTGCACGGCAAAGTACCTCTGTCTCCAGTCAGGGTTCCTCTTTGGGGGCTGACACTGAAAACATAATCGTTACAGCCTCTGCTTTATAGGGTCTCAATGCTTGGTTGGATCTGGCCCTTCATTACACAGAGGTGGGGCTACACGACTTTGTAAGAGTTAAGCAAGAGTGCAGGCTTATAGAAGTGAGAGATTCGTTTGATCCGTCATGGGAAGTGATGGATCCATTTGATAAACCTCTTCTGGGCGCTGCCAGCTTAATGTGTGTGCTTGGAGAGGGATTTATAATGAAAGAAATATTTATATCTAGTGAGTTTGAACAGGAACAATGGATCTGTTATTTTCACATAGATGCTCACCTGAACGAGTCCCTGTTTGCAGTGCATTCTTGGTTATCACGCTCCTCTGTTAAGGAACAGCTGCGTGTTCCTGGCCGTGCTGTCGTGAGTTGTGAGTGACGAACCGAGCGGTGTGTTTTATTTGATCACTGCAGTGCCTGTGAATAGCTCCATGCTGATAGCCTGGGAGGAGAAGTGTCCTTAAACACCCTGGGATAGGCATAAGGTGGACCCCAATACTGGAAGGTTTTCTCCTCCAGCCCAGGCATTGTCCCTCGTTTCTGAAGTTACCATCCCACTGGCTCATTTTCTGGGCTGTCACGGTGTTTTTGACACCACTGTATTTTGTGATGTTGGTTCCTTAAACAATGGGAGTAAGGTCACGCTAAGCAGCTGTGAATAGCCATCAGCTCTCAATCCCCACCAGCCTGGCGGGCGTTTGAAACACCAGCTCTGGGGGGGGATGAAAGGCTCTGTCTCCTACTGACAGTGCCTTCAGCCAGTCAAGGAACAAGAAGTCCGAGATGCACATTTTAAATTGTGGGGAGGGTGCTTACTATGAAGGCGTTAGTTGAAATAGTGTCCAGAGGGCAATAGGAGTGTGCTTAATTCTTTAATTATTTTTATCCCAAAAGCTTAATTTTTTTAAAATATATTTCTTGTCCTACATAGGGTCCCAGTTAGTGCACAAAAAATTAATATATATATATTGGTGATTGGTTTTACTGCAGTATTAGCTGAAGGTACAATTTCCACTCACAAAAAAGTCTCCAGCTGGGGATAAGTGGTACTTTATTGGCAGCGTGTGTTGATACTCAAGTGATGCCAACATTGGACCCGTGGGTATCTGGTGGTTCTGATAAACCAGCCCACAGCACCTCCCGTGTGACCTGTGCGGATGCTCTCAGCCAGTGTGGGTGAAGTGAGCGAGGGCTCAAGCTAACTAAGCCTGCGAAGGTGGTTAGCTTAATTATATTACATTTTGAGGAAAAAGTAAGGAAGCATCACTTTATGAGGTTAAAATATTGAGCATGTTTGTGAAAGAGCCCGTTTGTGAGAAAGAGCATTTACGAAATGCCTTGCTTGTATCTGTGTGCACAGGCATGGTGACAGCTCGCAGGAAAGCATCCGTTGAGCCTGGAAATGGTAAACATCTCAGCAGTTGTTTATTTGAGAAGCTAACACTTGAAGGTGCAGCTACTTATGTTCCTGAGGCCTTTCTTCAACTAAAAAGCTCCTTATTTTTACTCAATCAATATTTTGCATTATTTCCCAGTTTACCTCGCAGACATCAAGCTTACGGTTCACTTGGAACCTCAGCAAAGCAGGAGGATGTCTTTCTCTTCAGAATGGTGAGAGGGTAGTTTACTACTTACGTAATTTAACTCACTCATAAATTACAGAACGTGAGTTACGACCAGTCAGAGAAAGTGGTTCAGTATTATGAAACCAGCCTCAAGAAAAGTAACTGTCCCTTAGGTTTCAAGGCTTTCTTGAAACTTGAATGCCAAAAATCACTTATTTGAGCAAGAATCCAAAACTCCTCCATTTAATAGTGAAGGTGATCTTCCAATGAATGTTTTATACCACATCCTTTCCTGCCCTCACCTTTAGCAGCACCGAAATACCTGAACAACTATCCTACATTTTAGGAAATACTGATCTTTACATATCAGTTATGGTATTCCTTATGGCTCATCCCTGTTTAATAGAACTGAAGAGGGGAAAGCTGCCGAATGGCTATTGGCTTAATAAGGAAAAGTAATTTTGAAATTCTTGTTAAATTGCAGTGAGTGTACAACTAATCTGATATTTAATTACATTTTTAATTAAAGGAATAGCTATTGATTATGTCACTGAATGTGTGTTAGAACCAGCCCTAACAAATAGCAGTATTACAAGAGATCATTAACCCAGTTGTTAAAATTCCGAGTAAATGAGGACTGGAACTGGTGTGGATAAAAGTCACAGCGATGCTGGGCAGAAGAAAAAGACAACCAACTAAGTGAAAAATAACATTATTTTCTAAAGTTTCGAGTACTGATGGGTTTATGCCCTGTCATAATTTATTTTTATGAAGACAAAAACTAGAACACCTTTTAAACGAGAAGCCATTGGTGAGGTTTTGTCCTGGGTCTCAAGAGCAAACAGTGCTTTAGACAGCATTAGTCCCGAGCTTTACATGAAGCGGGATGTCATCTGTCGTGTGCGAGAGACCTTCTGATGGCTCGGGGAGCAAGCAGATCTGCGCAGACTGGTATAAAGGGCGGATAAACGCGGGGGGCCAGAGCAGCGGCAGCGGCAGCCCGGGCGTACCAACAAACACCAGTCGAGCTGGCTACAGGGCATGGCAGCTCACCCTGCATCCAGCCCGCAGCTTTCCCGCTGTCGCTGTCCTCTCCCAGGCCCGCGGTGCGGATGCCTGGTAGTTGACAGAAAGCAGTTTTCTGGATGCCAGTGATGGAGAGCGAGCGGGTGGGGAGATGCCGTCGTCCCGCATACACCCGTACAGCCGCCTCTTGTCCGTGCGGGTTCTGCTCTGTGCGTGCAGGCGGCACGGCCGGCTGGATGCGTCTGTTCTTCACCAACACCCCTCGGCCTCGGCGAAGCTGTCAGTGATGCTCTCAGCAAAAGTGTCCTAAATTTGTTTTACGCTTAAACAGTCTGCTCGTGATGTTGAAGACCTGATCCTTTCCCTCCTTACTGCTGAAAAGATGGATAGGAGAGTAGCCCCTATGGATAGATGTTCCAGAAGCCCATCGCCTGTGGCTGAAAGCTGCTCTGAACAGTGAGGTACAACATGGAGATGGGGGAGATGATCTCATGGGTGTTTCTGTTTCTGCCCGTTACAATTTCTGTGCACGTAAAGCCGTTCTAATCCTTCCCATTCAAATGCATTGTATCCACAGAAAGGTGTTCTTAATAATGACACAAGGCATGCTGTAACACGGGCAAGCTTGTAGGCAGGGCCTGTGACTCAGTTGGACTATGTTATTGTTTGAAATAGAGCGTTTTAGAATTAAGACTTCTCTTTGGTACCAGATTTTATAGTTGACTGTGTTCTGATTGTTCTGTCTCCATGTAATTAACAAAGTCTCAGTTGTTAAAGGGCGGTGAGAGTTGTACAGGTGTCAGCACCCAGGAGTTAGGATGTACTAGGGATATCTGTAACCTTTATTTGACTCTGTAGTTTTATGGACTATTATCCAGTCCTAGTGACCTTATTCCCCCAGTGACCTCCGGCTCTTCCAAGTGTGCAGGATAAGGAAGGCGCACGAATGTGGGAAGTGCAAAGAACGTGGCAGTGGCTGGTGTGGTGCAGAAGTGACGGGGAGGTGTTTGGACAAGGTGGGGAGCGCTCTTCAGGAATGGAAAGCAATGCCTTGTGGTGAAAGCACTTTTCTCCCTGTATTGCAGCTGTGTTGTTACTATTACGTGTGTCGTCCTTCTCACTTTCAGAACCCAGATTACAAAACGTCTTCCGTGTCTAACGGGTGACAAATAGAACAGATTACTGAAATGTAACCTGAAAGTGTCAGATATAAACCTCGAGAGTAAAAAGGTTTCGTGGCCTGTAATCAGGATTTACCAATTATTTCTACTTAAGTAATGGCATCTCTGGGTCTTTTCCAACACACAGGATATGTTTTACTTTACTTCAGACAGGTCCCTGTTCCCTGTTACTGCTTAACTACAGGATGTTATGATTATAGATGTAGTGATGCGGTTGCAGGATCACTGCTGATAAATTATGGTGGGGTGGCAGCTGTAAATACAGCTTCTCTTGTGATTTAAGAGGGAGATGTGAAGGCGCGTTGCCCAGATGCTTGATCAATGGTAAATAGGGCCTGCTGCGGCATGCTAAAGCTTGAAAGTCCTTGCCAGGTTTTGGGATTAGAAGTTGTCGTTTCAAGCATTAACTCCTCTGGTATCAAAATAATCAGCTGCTCTGGTCCTCCTCTTTCCCATCTTCTTCGG